CTCAAAATTTTTATTTAGATTTATTCTGAATAGATAATAACAATATGACATGCATAAAATCATAAGAATAACCTTTAAGATCTAATAATCCTTAAAAAATGATGTCATTTCAATTATATAACTCTTTTTTATTTTTATTTTTATTTTTAATATATCATAATAAATTATATAAGATGAGTTAATTCTCTTATTTTTTTCAAATCTCTCTATACTCTAATTAAAGATTAAATAGAAAATTATTAATTTTAAATTTTAAATTCTTAATCAATTAAACAGGACCTGAGACTTCAATTACAAAACTTACAATCCTTAATTGCCAATTTTTTTTTTCATTATTACCTTTTTTTTTTTAATCCCCACCGCCACCGTCACCCCCAACACTGCAACTGACGAGCGAAAAAGGACAAAAAATGTGTCGCTTTCTCTTCTCTCTCTCCCGAATTTTAACGATTTCATTTTCATGGCCTCACCGATGCAACACTATATATACCAATTCCACCTTCACCCAGAATTACTTTTCCTAGAACCCAAACGTAGAAGGAAGGAAGGAACAAAGTTCAGTCCCTTTCTTGTTCAATCCTTCACTTCCTCTTCCTCGTAAGCGAACTTTTTTGTATCTGAATCGGAGTCATCGTCGTTAATCGTTTAATCCCTGAGTTTTTGGGCTAAACATCCGATTGGTTGCTTGCATTGTGTGAGAATGGAGGAGATGAAATCGAAGATGTAGCTTTTTGATTCAGTATGCGTGAGTTTTCATGTGTCGTTTGCAAGAAAATGGAGAAGAAAAAGAAGGAAACTTTTTATGCTGCATTTTGATTCCATATGACTGTGTGTGTTTTTTGGTGTTTGGTTTGTGAGGAAATGGAAAAGAAAAAGAAGGAAACTTTTTGTGCTGCATTTTGATTCCATATGACTGTGTATTTTGTGGTGTTTGGTTTGTGAGAAAATGGGGGAGATCAAAAAGGACGACTTTTTGATTTTGCATTTGGATTCTGTATCACTGTATGCGTGTGTTTTTGGTTTTGAGGGGAAGAAATAGTTGAATCTTTTGCGTATTGCCTTTTTTATCAGTTCATGATAGTTGTAGAAAACTGAGCTTTAGCTTTAGCTGTTTACTTATTGCCTTGATAGAGGGCTTTTTTTTTTTTTTTTTTCCTTTAAGTGATAGAATTCATAATTAGTGTATTAACGTTGTTTATTTTCCTCTTCTTTTGTAGCATATACAAGAATCATGGCTACTGATCATGAGATTGAAATGCAAAATTTGAGGCAGCTGCTTCAAGTTTTTGGCTCTCGGTTTTCTCTTAAGGAAATTGCTTCTGCCTATTGCAAATCAGAAGGCAACATTGATATGGCTTCTGACATTCTCTGTTCAACAGTTGGGAGCAGCTTCAGCACTATAGCTGGTACATCTGAGGATAAGATGGCAGGCGCTAGTTCTAGCACAATGTCTTTGGAATTTTCATCTGGACTGGAAAACTCCAGTGCAGTGTCATCAGAACTTTCATCTGACCATGTCCTTGGGAATTCCTGTTATGCTGAAGGAAATACCACCCCTAGAGCACTGAAATCAAAAAAGTGTTATGCATCAGTAGGTAATGTTTCAACAATGATTGGAAAAGACTATGTTAGAACCAGGCCACTAACAAAAGTCTCTTCTGAGACTACCAAACCAATGAAATTGGATTCCAAGGAATTTCCAGTCTTGGAGATTAGGAAAGAAGAAGCCTCATCAACTATGACAACAGTAAATGTCACTCCATATCTTGATATTGAGGAATTTCTGTTAAATATGTTGGAAGGTGGCTTTCAACTGGACAAATCTGTAATCCAAGAAGTTCTTGGTAATCTGCTTCAGCTCTATTGCTATTTGAGTCATTTAGTGCTCCTGTCTTGCAAATATTGTCCAATGTGAAGATTTGGCATATCTAACTGTCTGGTGTGTTTCATATTTACTGATGATGGTTACCATTTTTTTTTTTTTGGCCATACCTTGAGAAATGATGGTTACCTTTAACTATTATGGAATTTCATGAGAATCAGCTCATACCAAAACCACTTTGGCCATTACACGTAACTAACATAATATAGTAGGAATAATTACTACTGGAGCATAAATGATAGCTTAATATGCATCTTATTGCAAATTATTTGCTTTTAAGATGACTATATTGGATGTATGCAAACGAAGGCTAGCATATCTCATTGATTGCAATAAAACATGAACTTAAGTATCTTTATTGTCTGTGAAATATTTACCAGGGAGAAAATAAGTATCTCTCATGTTCTGGTTTTGACTTGATCACTTGTCCATTTGTATCATTTGTTATAGTTAGTTTTAGCTTGGAAGCAAATATAGGCTATACAAGATTAACTCTTGCATTTAATTGTATGCTTTATACATAACTCCCTTTTTCTGTTATGTCTACCATATATTGCCATATTGATAACATACACTTAATGTTGCAGGTTCTTCTGGATATGATGTACAAAAGGTAAAGTAAATCAGTATGAACAGTATTGTCATATTTATTCTGTTCCCTCCAATGTTTTTTTTTTTTTCATAATGTTTTTGGTACAGGAGATATGGCATGACTGTTACAGCAATAATATTATTTTTTAAAAAAAAATTGTGTAGAGTGTCGACAAACTGGTTGACTTGTCAGCCTCGTCTCTGGAGAAGTATGATGATGTTGTTGGAATATCTGCTGATCAAGTAAGATCCATTTTAGTCCATGCTAGAACCTAATTCTTGTGAATATTATTTACTCAGATGTCATGAATTACTCAGTCTGAAAAGCATAAGCCTTATTTTTCTCCGTTTCTGGTCCTTTATAACATGTATTTTCCTCTTAGAAAACTCCCAAGAATATGAATGTGCCTAGAAGAATAGAATGACAAGTACCAATGCATCTAGATGTCTGGTCTTTAAACTGCAGAATGATTTAGTTTTCTCTATTATTAGTTTTCCAATAGTCTGGAGCTCAAAGGATCCATTTCTATGGTAATGGCTTGTTGTAGTTCTCAAATAAGGTAAGTTAGAAACTTAGGACCTTAGCATTAAGTGTAGACATTGTTAAGTTATGCTAGTCTATGTACTTTAACTCTTTAATATAAATATAGTACAGGTCCACTGTATTGGTAGTTTTCCTGTTTTTCTCCCAAGTCTGGACTTTAACTGCAAATGAGCTTTGTTTCTCTTTCACATTCTTCTTATCAAAGTTCATTAGCAGTTCATGGAGAAATGTCTTGTGGAGGGATCCTGTTCAGAACAAGGACAACAATTATGCTCAGATTCTGCTCAAAGGCATGTTATTTTAGTTTGTATGTTATAGTAGCACATTGTTGATCTTACTTTTTCCAAAATAAATGTTTGTGTTTGAGAAAGGTTTCCATACTTTCAGTGATATTCCTCATCCTTTTTTTTTTTGGCTGTAGTGATATTCTCCATCTTGATTGGTCAAAGTTTTGTGTTATTTCCTTTGCATTCATTCATGCAGTGAAGAAGCCAGCTCAATTGCAAAACAACCCGTGGCACCACCAAAAATAGATAATCTGCAGAAAGAAGTTTTAGACGCATTGTTTACTTTTCCTAAAAGATCAGAGGAAGAATCCAGGAAAATCAGCGTGGTTGACAGATCAATGGCATTCAATAACTTGGTGATGAAACGTCCTGGAGACACTACTAAAAGTCGCACAGCTGCTGCAAACAATCAAAAATCAAGTGTTGATGGTATGGACCTTGATCAATACATTGTTTATAAATTATAGAGATTCAAATAAATAACTTACCAGTGAACTTCAATTTTTTCTAATATATGATCTGAAGTCTTAGTCAGATAATCACTATCATATATTTTGGCCAAAAAAAAAAAAAACCTATCATATAAACAGTCCAAACTTCTCCAATTTGCAACCCAGAGAGTTCTAAATTCACTATTTATATGTTTATGATGTATTATGTTTCCCTTCTCTGCCACATCATATTGTCATAGCCTTCTGGTAAATTTGTATTCTTTTATGCAGAAGATGAAGATGATGAGAACAGCTTTGATGTCTTACGCCAAGCTGTCAAGGAATACTGGAATACAATGAGAGAGTACTATAAAGCTGTAAGTTTTCTTATCGAAATTATTTTGAAATAAGTATTTATAGAAAAATTTTGAGCAAAAATATTAATGTAAATGATGCAATAACTGAAATTTTATGATTGGTAGGATAATGTTGGCTGTTTCAGCTAAATATTTGTGTTGGGAGCCAGTTTATTGTGCTAGTATGGAGTTTCTTCAATTAGTTGATCTTTTCATATTCCATTCTTTTATAGATGATGAATCATAATGCTCCCAGTTACTTTGCAGGCTGCTGATGCATTTGCTAAGGGTGATAAGGCACAGGCAGAGAGATTACTTGAGAAAGTATGTTTTGAGCTTCCCCCCCTTCTTTTGTAATAGAGTTGAATATGCTTAGTAACAAAATAACTTCAAATTGTGATTGTCACCTGCTTACTATTTGCTTGATTTTACTTCTACCTAGTAAAGCCTATAAATTCACAGAGATTTCATGTATTCAGTTTCTGGCTCTTTTTGAAATTTCTTGTCATGTTAGACCTGAGATGCCTTTGCCTCCTTCTTGATCTTTCCTTACCATTCTGATTTCTCTTTTCATGGGACTGTGGCATATCATTCTGGTGGAGCAGTCTAAATGTTGAATAAACTATGGAAAGCTGGATCCTTTTTATTTTTCTTTCCTCTTTCTACCTATTCAAAGATTTGATTTTATGCTTACTACCCCCACTCACCTTTATAAAATACTAGAGACAAATCTGACCTATTTGTTGTGCCTTCTTGTCCTTGAAAACCTTATCCTCCTTAATATGAATTAAGAGGTTAAATAAATCTTTGCAAGTCAGTTCTCTGCTTGGTAAAAAACTCACTTGTCTTGTGATACACATGATCAATGATTTTAATGTAAAAGTTTAAAGAGCACGCAACATAGACAAATTTTTCTGGAAATGATGCACTAGCTACAAATGTCATTATTCAAGTTTTTTTTTTTCCCTTCCCAAATGTGTAGGGGCGTTTCTTCAACAAAAAGGCAAGGGAGGCAGATGAAAAATCAGCTGAAAAGATCATTGAAGACCGGTTTGTGCTAATCAGAATTTACTTTTCATGTTGTACAAGAGCTGTTTGTTGCTTTGTAAATGACTTGTTATCTTTGAATTCAGTTCTCGAGATGATGAAACTATGTCCCTTGATTTGCACAACCTTGATGCACGGGAGGCACTTCGTGTTCTCAGGGTCCATTTGACATCTATTTCTGGGATTCCAAGTATGCCATTATGCTCATTCCTTTTTCCTGTCTTCCATCAAATTACTTGACTTTTGACTTATTTATCTTTGCATGTCATCAGCTATTACTTACCTCAGGCTTATAGTCGGAACTGATGATAAAGATCCTAAGTTTCGGGGTCGAAAACGACTGGTATGATATTCTTCATTTCCTCAGGGATTAAATTCTACCATACACAGATCAAGATGTTAGAACTTCACCTTCTTGAAATTGTGAAGTAAAGACTTCAGCTTAACATTCCCTTGACCTTATGGAAATTAGAATATATAGCATGCGTTCTCTTGACTTTTGCTGCAATGTAGAAGATTTGAGATTGAAAAGTTCCATGAAATGGGAATAGTATAAATTTAAGGATTTCAGTGAAAGTGACAACATCACTAGTTTTTGGTTCAAAAAGAATTTAATCAGTACAGAGGGAGCACATAACATCCTTGATCATAAACAAGATGTTTTTAGCCAATTATCATCTCTAACACACGAAATCTGAATTTCTTTTGCAGATCATCAAACAACTGGAGAAGGAATCCATCCAATGGACTGAGGAAGACAATGGTGGGACAATGAAAATTCAAGTGGATGTGATCAACCCGAAAAGACTAAGTTTTGCCAAAAAACAAGAACCCAGCAAACATTAGATTTCCTTGGCGAGAAAGGTGAAATCATTTTCAGGCGTTTGGCTATAAGGGACGTTACATATGGCAGAAATAAATTCAAGAAAAGATTGAGAAGACAAAGAAACATTTTTTTTTTTCACCAGAACACTTTCAACTACACAAAACAGGTCTATAACTGTCCTTCCATAACTGCATCTTTGAAACTTCGTCTTTTTTTCACTTGTTGCCAATTGGAATAACTTGAGTAGAAGGGTTTTAACTAACTGCTACTTATTGTGGAAAAATATGGGTAAACAAGACTATTATTAATCTGGTAAATCCTGCCTTAAAATGTGACCTGTATTAGAAGGATCCAATGCATGAAATATGACATGCTCTCTTATTTTCTGGTACTTGAAAAGTTAGTGTGCTTATCCGGTGTAAAAGTTTCTACCATAACTTCGATCCCCTAAAATGGTATGGTTTTGCACACAACTCGGCCAAACTCTTGCTGTTGACGCATTCTCTTATTGCTGGCTATGAGCAGCACTTGTTGACCTGGTCATTCAACTTTTACCTTGCACAATCAGCAACAGATAAAACAAACTGTTCAGAAATGGATATTATAGGATATATACAGAAAGGTTTTTAATATCTCAAGCCAGCTGAAGCTCGGGAAAACATTGCTATAAATGCAAGAGCACTACTAGAAAGATTCAGTCCATGTTTGCCTATTTAGTAAAACAAAACTAGACATTCAAGGGATATAGAGTAGGCCCATAGGGTCAATGAGTAAGTCTCTGCATCTCATCTTGGTCATTCAGGGTTTCCATCAGAAGGGGAGGAGCATATTGAGCAGTTCCTTGGTGCTCCTCTGAGTCCTGGCAGAAGGAAAGAATAATGGTATCGATTGACATCTCCACCACTGCAAAGAAGAGAGTTGCAACTATGTAACCAAGACCCCAGCAAACCTGGAAAAACACATTGAGAAGGAATGGCACTTCAATATGGTAATCTCACACATTTTCAGCAGCAAAAATAGTGTCTACAGTCTAGTGAGTTTGAGGTCAATAGATAGATGCACATAAAATACCAGCACAGGAAACAGCGGTGATGAGACCCTGTTATGAGAAGACCTATAACGGTGGGCATCCAACATGAGGAAAGCAAAGACGGCACTTGAAAGGCTTACACACAATTTTCCAAGAGTCAGAATAACATCTCCTATCACATTCACTCTCCCAATTCGAAGGATGTTGTTTATTATCAATTCCGTAGCAATTGCAGAAGATTTACAGAAGCTTTTCCCAGTTATGGCAATCTGGAAGGATCAGAAATGAATATTTGGTCAAAAACTAGAGGGAGCATAAAACAGAAACTCAAAATATATTAGATCTTTGGTGGGTGGCTTCTAGCTGTTGTTTGGTAACGGCCAGAACAACAGTCAAACAACAGCTATAAACTTCTAAAGTGCTGAAAAAGGATTATGACACAGTTATTGGCCCTCAAAAAGTAATAATAAAGGCAATATTTATCAATTGCAGCGATAGCCATTTCAGAAAGAATTAAAGGACAGAGGTTGGTATAGCCATTTCAGAAAGTAAAAATTAGTAATTGAAGATTACATTACCATTATATAGGCATTGCGGTTTACAGATCTGATGGTCCACTCAACACATCTCAAACATGCCTGTGAAGTATGAAATGCTGTTTTTCCAAACCAACTATGTGGTGTAGCACCAGCAACTTTCAGCTTACGACGAATTGACTCAAGAATGAAACGAATTGATTCCACAAAGGACACGATTAGGGAGCCTAGAGCCACAGAACCAAGGCTGTATCTTATAAGCCGCTTCATTGAGGAGAAAACTGGAAGAAATGGAATCTCAGGCTGCAGAAGTGAAGCACAGAAAACAACAATCAGACAATAAAGAAATGCTGGTCAAAGGTCAGAATCAAGTCTTAGATCTTGAAACAGATATTGGTATGTGACTTACTGAAGTTTCACCACGAGCCCAGTAATAGGAAGCAACAGAACCCGCAATCACAGTTGAAGAGCATGCAATAAAAAATTGTGTTGCCCAGTAACATCCAAACAAGTGGAAAAGGATGGCAACAGCAATATGAGGGGTGTAACGAATGCCATAGCCACAGCACCGATCACAATTTAGCCGTTTTGCAACAAGATCATAGGCACAGCAGTTCGTGTTGCAGTTGTTTTGAACAACCTGACCAGAACTGAACAGATGGAGGGCAGCTGATATCCAAAACATGTAAAATATTGCAAGAATTGCATATGGTATGATTGGAAAAATTATTAATGCTTGAACTTCTCCTATGACCTTTGCTGCCACCTGCATACAGATAAATCATAGATCCTTGAATTGCCATTATAGAATATTAGAAGGTAAATATAGTGATGATTCCTAACGCAAAGACCTGGCTTAATGACCAAGGAAATGAAATGGAGATGAAAACAAGCATTGATGTGGCCTAGGTCAGGGAAATGGATTCCATAAAGGAGCTAATGTGTTTAGAACTACCCAAAAAATCTATCCTTCCCATCAGTTGGTGACTTCTAGAAACCACATACTCTTTGCTCACTCCATAGTAATTAGATCATACACTTGCCTTGAGGACAGATGTTGCCATAAGGATGCGGCGGACAATTGCAATTGATGTAAGGATGGAAACAACCATAAAAAATGACATAATTATAGCAGCAACATGGAGGTGATTCAGTTCCTGAAAGATGCAAGTGTTTTAGCAAACTAAAAAACATAACTACATAAGTAAACAAAAGAATTATAAGAAAGCTTCCATACTTTCAACTCAAAGAAAAAAAAAATGATAACTCACCCGTCCAAAAACCCGTATGTATGGATCATGCTCGCCAATGATAGGTGAAACAGCACCATTCCCAATCCATCCAGCTATACACAAAAGATACAACATGAATTCAGCATTTAGTGTCCTTGATAGTGCAGCTTCTGGCTTTAAACTAAATAAACAAGATAAATTTGACAATTTATCCAAGATCCAACAGGAAAGCATAGCCAATTAAGAGATTAAAGACTAGACTAAATAGGAAAAAGTATGTGGGAAGGGGATTTAGGGTTTTTCTAAAGACCAAAGAGGCTTGAAAGTTTTGAGTAATATGCCACATTAGCAAGCAGTAGAAAGTTAATGGAGTTAACAAAATTCCTAATGGATCTCAATATAAGCCTGGCATGTATTATGTCAAGGTATCCAACCTAAAACCAACTTGTAGGTGGAGAGGCCCAACAAGGACACAAATCCTCAACCAGATTGATGTGAAGTTATATTAAGATCATATTTTCAACTATCATGCAGCCAAGGAAGAACTATGGTAGTATGCTTCTGACCTTTTAAGTAGTAAAACATTGTAACTGATATTATGAGAATGTTAAAGAGCAGGACTGTTATCCAAGGCATCACAGCAACAAAATGTCGAACCATTAACAGCCAAATTACTGACAGAAACAGTGGCAACAGCCCTCCACAAACTATCAATACACCCCATGCCTTCCCAATATCAGCCATGTATCGCTGCAATAATACATAGGATAAACTTCAGATTCTAGAATTCCAAACATGTAATTATTATATAGAGCATTTGAAAGAAAGAGGACCTCTAAGACAGAATTTTGAGGGCCTTTAAAACAGTAAAAAGAGACAAGATTTTGTGACCTTTAAGACAGATGACCGTGAATTGATGGATTTATGAATTGATTTATCAATTACAATATCCACATTGATATTCACACCACCCATCTGCTGCCAGTGCCGTAAAGATATGTTTGATGCACGTGCAATATATTGGCAACTCCAGTAAACTGAAAAAAAAACAAAAACATAAAATACATTCACAATATGATGAATATATGAACTTAACACATCAATATTTCAGATTATGCAAACCAGGAAACAAGCTTCGCAGTGGCAATTGGAACAGAAATAAATTCTCCTTTACTTACCATTTACAGTTGGGAAGATAACCGGGTAACATGGACCCTGAAGTTGAAGAGAAGTGTTTCGCATTTCTGGTGTAAGGAATTCAAAATAATCATAATTCCTATCAATCCAGTCATCCATACTAAGGCGGATATCCCCCTCTGGATAATCACAGACCCAATTTAGTGAATCTTCTGATGGGATAGGGCAATCTAACAAGCATATACTCCGAGCATTGGCCAATTTGAATTGGCTGTCCTTCAAGCCACTTTGATAAACTTGGTTTGGATTCAACCAATATCTAAGTTCCAATTGACGCAGCCCAGGGTTTGCATTCTTGTCACCACACACATTTCCTTTGTAGTCCAGCCCATATATAAGCCTGGTAAGCCACAGAACAAAAGGTAAAGATCATTAAAATGGATAGAACATGGTAGAGAAGTGAACTTAAAAAACATAACAATGTAGACAAACGTTTGAATTGAAAAGACATAGTAACTGATTTCAGCTTCTTGCAAATGGAAGATTCAGATTTTCATCTTAAACTGATCAAGTAGACATGATTGACACCCAAGGTTGCAATTTTCTTTTTCTTCTCAATTTCTAAGCAATCAAAAAGATAAAAAGGGGGGGGGGGGAATCAGGAAGAACCATGAGTCCATAAGAACAATAACCAAGTTTTCACAGAGTAAATCATGCCTACCATCAACCAAACTTACAAACAGACCATTACATACATTACTGTAAGAGAGCCAAAACAGAAAACCCAATTAAGTTTGAGACACAGTAAAACCTACTATAAAAACAACAAATTGCTCAACCTCTGCAAAACTAAAAGACACCCATTTGGAAATTAGAGAAATATATGCATTGGGTATGCTAGAAAATCCTACCTTTTTGGGTTTCCTTGGTTGAACCCAAAGCTAGAGTTGACAATCATAGCAACCCAAAATGCTATAAAGATAACAAGAAATGCAACATCTCTGCATTTCCTGTTGTGCCTTATGATTCCTCCCAGTTGGGTACTCCCATCACTTGATGGGTACCTCCCTATGACTGCCCCTAAAGGACCCCTCATCTCCTACCACAGTCACAGAACAGGGTTTATCTATCGGAAAAGGAGGCAATGCGTAGGGGGAGAAAGGAGATTCTGCAGAGATAGTAAAGTGGAAACCTTTTGGAGAAGGAGAAGGAGAAGGAGAAGGGATAGGGAGCAGTGGAGTGGAAGCTTGGGAAGTGTGGAAGAAGCAAAGAAACTAATGACTTTAATAATTTTCTGTTTGATTTTAAGACAAAGATCTTGCGTTAGATTTTAGGAAGGACCCACGTCTCGCCGCTCAGACATCCACATTTTCAATTGGCTCGGCTTCAGAGTTTCAGCTGCTGGATGATAAAAACCCTGACAT